GATGCTGCCAGACCTGCTGAGCTTTTCCAGCAACTTTGTTTTTGTTCGTGAATAATTTCAGATGTTTTGATTGCATTCTGGTGTTGAGTTGAATTTTCCTCTGATGGCTTGAATCTGGTTATGACCGTTACATTTGGTTGTGTTGGGTTGTACGCGGTTAATTTGGGTTGGATTTCATTGTTATTGTTTGGATCTGCGTATAATAAAACACAAAAAATACCGCGGGTGCTGAATTTCTGAAACAAAAACAGAAATTGCTGGAGAAATTCAGCAGGTCTGGCGACATCTGTGGCGAGAAAGCAGAGTTAACGTTTCGAGTTCAGTGACCCGTCAAGTTATGTTGGGTTTACTTTGTTCGCTCTGGTAACTGATGGAATCTCCTGAACCAAGCAGTTTCTCAGCCACTTGCTGAGCCGGTTGCATTCAAGCCGGTTAGATATTAAACCGATAAACACTCCACTGGCAAAAGCCCATGTCCTGTTCTGCAGAAGGGTCATTAGATTTGAAACATTAACTCCGCTTCTTTCTCCACAGATGCCGCCAGACCGTTTGAGTTTCTCCAGTAATTTCTGCTTTTGTTTATTTTAAAGCCCGCAATTGAAACGTTTAATAACTTATCTGGGTAGTTAGCTGAAGGTACCAATAGGATGAGGTACATCCCCTAACTTTTGTCAATTTTCAATTCCCAATATAAAAACAGAAAGTGCTGGAGAAACACCATAGATCTGCGTTACCCGTCAAAAGAGGAACAGCGTTAACGGTTTAAGTCTGATATGATTCTTCAGAACTGACTTCAGAACTCAGTTCCGAAGAAGTCACATGGACACATCGTTAGCTATTTTTTCTCTCCATAGACGCTGCCAGATCTGTGGAGTTTCTTCAGCACTTTGCGTCCGGTGTCCTTTTAATTCAGTTTCTAGTAACTCATGTTCGTATCATTCTTGTTCATTTTTCCCGCCTCCTCTTATTTGTCCTGACTCACAATTTGACATGAACTGCCTCCAGCACCTAATGCTAGTGGTCATTATGTGACCCTTAAAAGTGAGGTGAGCAACTTATTAAACTGTGGAAATATCATGATCAAGCATAATCCTCATCTGTAAACATGTACACCTCTAACATGTGTTACTGAATAGCAATGACCAGCAGGAACAACCTCCACCCCCTCCCCCAATCTCCAATCACTGCCTTCATCTCAAACTTCAGAGATTCTCAAAAGGATTGAAGTTCCCCAATTACTCTTTGGACTGAGGTCAGTTAAAGTAAACCTCAGCAGTTCTCAAATCTTTTGGGACTCTCTGCCCATGTTCCTGGGACTTTTGATGACCATACAATTCATAGCCAGTAAGAGGACAATAGCCACTTAACTAAAGGTTTGCAGAAGGGGATGGAATTTTTTTCTTAATTGTTCCTGGGATGAGGGTGATTCCATCTGCCCTTAGTTGCCGCTTTTAATGCAAACATAACTGGTCAGGGCCGAAAAGGATGGCAGGAATCTGTGAGCAAGTTGAACTTGGTTGAGCATGAGCAGTTGAGGCAAACAGATACATTTGATGGAAAACAGGATCAGTGTGTGAAGGATAAAGGAGTAGAAGGATATTGTGATGTGATCTGATGAAGTAAGGTGGGAGAAGGGTTGGGAAGAGGATTAACATTGGCAGAGATGTTTTGGCAGTGTAATTAGATTCTGTGCTATGAAGTCTGTATTATTCAATTTAAACTCTGTCACATCAACCAATAGGCTCTCATATTCTACTTTACCACACTGGGGCCCCCAGGCGTCCTGAAACATATTGGTTTCAGTGGCACAAACCAGAATAGAGAGAAGTCAATTCCATTTATATCCAATGTCCGTCCAATCACTCTCTCTTGAAGCAGGGCCACCTTACACCAGGGATCGATGCAAGGATTTTACACATTGACCTCGCTAGTTAAGCCATAGTGGAATTTACTTTCATTTGTGTGCAACAATTCTCTTACTTGACTCCTACTTGATCAGGAAAGAGGGCTCAAACTTTTTACTTTCTGATCAGTGTAGCCTTGTAGTGCATAAACTTCCTCTGTGTGAGTGGGGGTCAATTTGTTTTGAATTTTGCCGCAGCTTGAATTTTGGCGTGGCTCTACCATGCATTAGCAAGCCTTACACAGAATGGTTATGTTATACACATCAGAATATGTTTTCCTGGAGAGCTGACATGAATCTATAGATCACAATCTGATACCTGAAACCTAATTTACTTGTCTGGGATGCAATTGATGTTGCCCTCTCCTTTCAATCTTCAATGGAAAAATGACACCAAGTAATATGTAGATGCCTGAGATGCCCTGACAAAACAATGATTCATTTGCAGAATGAGCAGGTGTTGTTAGAAACTTGTGTGATCCAACATTTTAAAACATTCTTTACAGGAGCTGATGCTGTTCTACACCCTCCTAGAAATCTTCGTTTCACATCTGTGAATAGCGAAAACATTTTGCATTGGGATCCGCCAGTGGATTATTCTCAAGCTGTTCGCTATGATGTGCAGTACTTTAGGTAAAGAAGCTTCCTTTTACCTCATCACAATTTAAGAGTGAGTGGGAAAATTTCAGGTAGACATTGTCGGGGTGGTGTTGTGTGTTTGTGGGGGTGGGGAGAGTTGTTTGAAATTAGCTGAAGATTTTTTGCTCTTGATCGGTATTCAGTGAATCCTCCTACATGAATATTTGGAGTGAAGCCTATCTCAATGTCCTGAGTAATGTTTACTTTCTACCAATGTCACTGGAAAATCACTGATCCAGTCACTTATGTCCCTTCTGTTTGTGGGGCCAATGGTGTTTCCTGCACTATAATGCCAATCAGGCTTCAATGTACTTTATTGTCTGTGATGAATTTCTCAATACTGTTCTGCAACCATTTATTCCATGGATTAATTGATGGGGAATAATTAATTGTAGTGATGTACTGGAGGTCATCTGTGTTCATGGAACCTGCACTCCAGTGAGAATTTAATGTCTTCAATACAAGTCAATGTTTCACCAGTAAAGGAGACATTGTGAACAGGTTTTATTGAAGATTTTGCACAACAATTCTGTTTCTGTCTCCAGTAAAAATTTCCAATTTTGTATTTGGTGTGACCTTTTAGCATGAGAGCTGGAAAGTACACAGATTTTTTTTAAGGAAACAAATACTGAGAATTTACTCTGGTCATGTGCTTTGCATGTTCTGTAAATTGAAAACAAAAACCGCAGTAACCAAATCCTGAATTTGAATTTGAATTCAGAACCAGTTGCATTTTTTTTGAGATTAGTGCCAGGGTTGAAAATAAAAAATAACTTAAATTTCGAGAACACCTATTATCCCTTAGAATGCCCAAAATTGCCTTCTAGTCAGTGATGTTTTTTGAAAGGTAGTCCCTGTTGTAAAGTAGGAAACACAGCAGCTAGTTTGTGTGCAGCAAACTCCTACAAACTGCAATGAGATGGTTTACAAGACCCTTCCTTCTAGATGATTGAGCTTTCAAAGTCCTTCATAATTTTCAACATTTCCTATTAAACTTTCTGTGTTCTAAGAACAAACCTGGCTTTTCTCCACATAACTGAAGTCCCCATCTCGGGCACAATTCTAGTAAATTTCCTTAGCATGCCCTCTAAGGTCCTGACATCCGTCCTAAGGAATTGTGCACAAATCTGATCATGATATTCCAGCTACAACCTAGTCAATCTTGTAGAAAGATCTAGCAAATCTTCAAAAGGCATACTACTGTGAATACTGTAAATCTGAAAGATAAACAGAAAGTACTGGAAATATGTAAGAGGCATTTTCCGGTCAGCATTTCCAGTATTTTTCTGTTTATATTTTAGCATTGCATTCTTATTTTTGTACATTACTTCTCAAATGTGTAAAGCTAAGGACTTCGTCTGCCCTGCTAACAACCTTTTCAACTAAATGTTGAAAAGAATGAAAGACTTGTTTTTGATCCCTGTCACAAACTCTGTTTCCCACTCCATCATCTCGCTGGGAACTGTCTGGCACTGAACCAGAAAGCTTGCCTCGTGTTATATTAGGTCCCCCAAGTAGAGCTGCTAACCACATTAGAGTGCCATCACCATCTCCACATATCTCCACACTGTAATCTTATCTGACTTCACCCCAGCTCAGCTCCTCTGCTGCTGAAGACCTCATCCATATTTTAGTTACCTTTTGGCTAAGTCAACACACTCCGGACTGGCCTCAAACATTGTACACTGTCTAGACTTGAATTCATCCAAAACTCTGCTTCCCATAGCCTTACACATATAACGTCCTGTTCACCCAACCCCATTGTGCTCACTTTAAGCAACACCTCGATTATAACATTCTGATCTTCATCTCCATGGCCTTACCCCTCACTGTCTCTAATCTTCTCCAGTCCTACAACACTCTATGCTATCTGTACTTTTCCACCATAGGCCTCCTGAGTGTCTGTCTTATTTTAATAATTCAATTTTTGTGCCTGTGCCATTAGCTACCTAGATCCTAAGCTCAGGAATTCCAATCCCAAACCTCACCACCTCATTCTTCTCTCCTCAGTTGTGGAAGGTAATAGCTCTGAAAGGCTTAATATTGGAGACTGCATTTTGGTCCAATCAATCTGAGGAGGTCACACTGTCTTGGGTGGGAAAGAATGGTGCCTAGTTTGAGATACCAATGGAGCCAGATGGGTCATCATTGTTTCCTAATAGCCTCAGTTGTTATGTCTCACAAGGCAATGTAACTTGTATCTATTTTTGTTGTGCAATAAATTACATCTTGTTAGGACAATTGACTCTTCTTGTTAAGATTCATTAGTGGCTCATCCTCTAGCATTATTAGCTCAACAGGCCCTTAGACCCAGTCTGGGAAAGAGGATTGATGGAAGGTCTTTACCTTAGCATGAGCTGGTAGTGGTTGGTATAGCACATACAACCTTCTCATTGAACACACTATTTGAAACTGACCTCAATGATGATGCTTTTGCTTACATGTCCCATACCTCCTTACGTGACAGAGAGTCAAGTTTTGTGTTATAACACACATTGGAATGTTTTCCTGCATTGAAGACACTCCATAAATGCAGGATGTTACTCTTGCCCTGCCACCTTCAAAAATCTGTATATGTTCATTCCCAGATTTTGTTTTCTATTCATTTGTGGGCTGTGGGCATTACTGGCTGGCCAGCATATCTTGCCCATCCCTAGTTGCCCTTGAGAAGGTGGTGGTGAGCTGCCTTCTTTAACCGCTGCAGTCTTCCTGCTGTGGGTTGACCCACAATGCTATTAGGGAGGGAATTCCAGGATTTTGACCCAGCGACAGTGAAAGAATGGCAATATATTTCCAAGTCAGGATGGTGAGTGACTTGGAAATTTCTCTGTTTTTTTGTACTCCCTTTTGAATTAGGTTTATTTTGCCCCTCATCCTTCCGAGCAAAATATATCCCATTTCCATGTGCTTTTCCATTTTCCAGCATGTTGATGACCTCCTGAAGTTTGTTCTTATTATCCTCACTATTTACTGCTTTCCAGTACAGACACAATGGGACAAATGGCCTTTTGTTCTATATTTTTCTGGGATTTCCATGTTTTGCTGTAAAGATTAGAAATATACCTTGTGTAAATTAATACAGCAAACAGGGGCTGGGAATTGTGGGAGCTACAGATGATACAAAGACAATCTGCAACCTCCATATCAAATTTGATGTGTTAAGTTTGTTGAACTGACAGAAACATGAATTTCTTTATCTGGGGACTAACAATGGGGATCACAAAATGATATTAATATTTACTCTCCCACATCAGTGTATCAGAGACCACTTCCTTAATGGCTATTTTCTGTTTGTATTAGCCTTCAATGGTACTGTATTCTATCTCCAAAATGTTGTAATTTTGGGAAGTCGTTTGAACCAAACTGTAGAAATGCTTAAGGCCTTTCCACAGTGATGACCAGCTCCTGTGGTTGCAATCATTGACACAGCAAAGCAAAAAAGAGGCAGCTAGCAGAGTACGATTTCAACAGGGTACCTCAACCTACACAGCACCAAAAACCATAACAGGAAAGTTCAAAGGGTCTGGAGGCATTTCTGAACCTGTTCAACGCACTGGAACCTCTGTTACTGAATATTAGTTAAGATATCTCTTTTTTTTTTCTGTAACTTCATAGCTTCATTCAATAATTGTTCATGCCAGGAAATGGCCTGTGACCAATTGTTCATTTGCAACTTGCTGGACTATGCCTGTTCTATGTTGGGGAAGAAAGTTCTTACACAGGTGTAGTTGTCCATCAGGAGAACACACAATTTAATTTGCACATACTACTGGTTTGACAGGGAAACATTGGTTAATCCCTGTTTATAGAGACTTACGATCCACCAAATATTCACACCCTCACCGAGTCCGTTTTTGAGTTTAACATACAGGTTAGGGATTGTTTATCTATCTTCAAAGCACTGTGCGTATACCCGCATCATACTGACTTCAAGAGGGCACCTCAACACCACCTTTCCCAGGACAGTTAGGGATGGGCAATAAATAGCCAATGATGCCCAAACTCCCATGTATGTGGGACATCATGTTGTGGCAGTACAGGACGTTGGTGAGGTCACTTTTGGAGTGCTGTGTATAGTTCTGGTTGCTCTTCTATTGGAAGGATGTTAATAAACTGGAAAGAGTGCAGAGAAGATTTACCAAATGTTCCTGGGGCTGGAGGGTTTATGTTATAATTAGAGGTTGGATAGGCTGGGACTGTTTTTCTCTGGAGCATAGGAGGTTGAGAGGTGACCTTTATAGGGGGTTATAAAATCAAGATAAGGAAAATAGCAAAGGTTTTTTCCCAAGGTAGAGGAGTTCGAAACTTGAGGGCATAGGTTTTAAGGTGAGAGGAGAAAGATTAAAAGGGACCTGAAGGGCTACTTTTTCACACAGAGGGTGGTACGGGTATGGAATAAGATGCCAGAGGGGGCGGTAGGAGCAGGTACAGTTACAACATTGGACAAGAACATGAATATGAAAGGTTTAGAAGGATATAGGCCAAATGCAGACAAATGGGACTAGTTCAGATTGGGATGAGTTGGACCAAAGGGCCTGTTTCCATGCTGTATGACTCCATGTTAATATTGGACCTCTCAATATTATCATGGAACTTTTTCATCCACTTGAGAGGGATAATGGGGCCTCAGTTTGAATCCCCTTTGAAAAGTGCTGTTGTTTGATGCTGTCACACTTCATCCAGCTCAGCAAAACCCCTTCCACCACCAACTCCTCTTATGGCCCATGCTGAGGTATTACCAGGAAGACATGGAGATATGTTCCATCTGCAACTCCTCAGACACTGAAGCAGTCCCTGCCCTCATGCTGCAGGATCTGGACAATATTCTGGTTTGGGCTGATAACCGGCAAGTGCCCTTCATGCCAAACAGATACCAGAGATTGACCATCTCCAATGAGAACCCATCTCCCCACCACCACCACCATCATCATGGGAGTGACCACTGAGAAATCCCCTGGAACATGATTCAACCAGTGTGACAAACCAAAATAGGAAAGTAAAGAACTGGTCATTTCTGGAAATGTTGGCCTCTTGTTAACAACATGCAGAAGCTGAACTGTCTCCTCATTAACTCACAGGTACGGTTGGAATGTGACATATATACCAGTGAACCATTGCACAGGAATTCCCCACCATCACTGTGATCTTACACAGGAGACCTGGGATTTTAACATGCAGATTATTGCCAGGATTAGGAGCTTTATTGGCAACATAACCTCGGACTGGGAAAGGTCGGATATGTTTAAACCCCTGGATTCCAGTAAGTAGTTCTTGCACAAAATACAATATAACACCAACTTGTTCTATTGTTCTGGATGGTTAAGTAACAGACTTCAATTTAAGGTGGCAATGCTTGAACTTTGAGGGCTTAATTTTAAGCCGTTTCCTTTATTGGTTATTTATTTTCTAAATCAATTTTAGAAAACTGAATGTGTTCGCCACTGAGCTGAGCACAGCCCCTGACAAAATAAAAGTCTTTTGGTTTTATTTGACCTTCAAGGTGCTCATGCTGGGCCGATGATGCTGAGGTCAAAGGTTTCCTCACCTGGAACTCGAGATCAGAGCAAGAACTTTGACTCACATTTTTTTCCTGACTAGCACATGAGGTAGTTTTAGCTCAAGTTATCAGTGCAGATTATAGGAACATTGGAACAGAAGTAGACCATTCAGCCCCTCAAAACTGTTCCATCATTCAACAAGATCATGGCTGATCTGTGGTCTAGCTCCATGTTCCTGCCTCTGGCCCATATCCCTAACTACCTTTGCCTAACAAAGCCTTCCACAAACAGTACCTTTGTGAAAGAGAGTTCTTAACCTCAACCATCCTTTGTGTGTAGAAGTGCTTCCTAAGGAGACCTAAGACCTTGAGATCTCCTTATCTAAGGAAGTGTGTACATACCTGGGAAGGGCTGCAGTATTGGTTTTTAGATTGATTTCTCGAATGAGCGGTTGAGTACAAACTCTTTGGAGTTTAGAGAAATGAGAGGTGATCCTATTGAAACATAACATTTTGAGGTGATGTGACAGAATAAGACACTGAGAGTCTATACCTAGGGGTCACAGTCTCAGATTAAGGGGCTGGCTATGTAAGCTGGAACTGAGAAATTTCTTCACTCAAGAGATGAATCTTCAATCATCTGGTATATTCAAGGCTGATATTGATAGACTTTGGATTCAAAGAAAATTGGGGAATATTGATTTGGCCTGGAATTGGTGTTGAAGACCAAAATCAGCTTCAGTCTCATTGAAGGGGGAATAGTTTAAGGGATTAAATAGCTTGAGACTTCCGATGTTCTTCTTGAGCTAGTTTCTACCAGTCTTTAAACTATAGACAGGAATTTGGAAATTTATCCACATTCACTGCCCACTCACTTTCAGACAGATACACATTTTCTCTCTATCTCTCTCTCTCAGTCTCACATACACACACACCTTCTTACTTACTCCTGATGCACTCACACTCACTGACACACCGACGCGGACAATCACATTCACAGGATACACACACGTGCACACACAACCTCACACACATTCACACTTGCAGGTGCATGTTTTCTCACAATTGCACTTATTGCCACGTTGTCACTCACACATTCGTTAACTGGCTAGTTACACAACATTCACACTGTCATCGACACATCTACACACTGGTGCTTCCTGACACACTCATTTTCATTTTGGTTGTAGATTTATATTTAATTTTGAATTTCTTTTGCTTTTAGCCTCTTTTGGTTTGGCATCCTTCGATGTTCAAGCTGAACACGACATAATTAGAGTCAATATATCTGCACCCACTTTGCATTGGGGAGGAAGAACGCGATCAATGGAGGAGCTGTTTAACAACTCTTTGATGTACATCGTTCTTATCCGTGTGAACAACACTGACAAGGTAATAACCTCACTGAGTCCTTCCAGTTACAACTCCCTACTATGCAGGGCTGTTCTTTTTAATAAAACTGAGCTTTTGCATTTTCCAAACTAGACTTTAATATTATTTCCTCACCCTGTTCCAATTTGCAACTCTCTCTCACCACCACCTCCCCATTCTTTCTCAAGGGGGATGGGTGCTGAACTAGCCATGACATTGGGTATTGAGCAGTGCAGAGCAGTTCCAAATGAGCCTGATACGGTTCTATCCAGGCCTCACTCACACAGGTTCTTGAAGGAGTCACTAGACTCAGTCCAGCTTTAGCTGCACATTGTCATCCTTACATTTTGCTCAAGGGCGGCTAGGTTTGAGCATTAAATGCTGGCCAGCCAGCGATGTCGACATCCCACAAGTGAATAAGAATTTAAAAAAAACAGGACAATGAGGCCAGATATGCCTCTACTTGTGTGGAGCACAGGTCCTCAGAGCCTGGGTTCTGGGAGCTTACATTTGCTTATAGCAACTTGGATTCTTTATAGCTTCCAGAATAGACTGACATGTCCTCAACTGTTTCACATAAACAGAATCTGACACCAAGCCATGTGAGGAGATGTTAGGACAGATGACTGACTGCTTAGTTGAAGAAGCAGTTTTAGCAAACATCCTTTAAAGGGCGAGGGTGAGATCAAGAGGTTTAAGGAGGGGATTTGAGTGTTTAGGGTTGTACAGGTGAGGGAGTAACTGGCAGAAGTATATTGTACAAGGCGCATGTACTGGAAACCTGAACTGGAGAACACAGGGATTATAGACAGTTATAGGATTTTGATTATTCCTCCACCCAACTTGCAACGATGAGTCCTGCTCCCATCTCCTCATTTGGGAACAGACATGAATGTAGAGATGTGGTGTACCGCCCCCAATGGGAAAACCATCTCTCTATTCCCCCACACTCCATGATTGAGCTGTAATGGTGGGTTGGGGACCTCGTGGTGGAGGATATATTTGATGGAGTTGGGGACTCAACAGTCTCAGACCCCATCCTGGTAACAGATGATGCTGTCACTGGCAATCCGGGCACCTTTGGATGTAATGCTGACTGAAAGAAACCTGGAAGTTGTTAGACAAAGATTAAAAGTCTAGTTCTGCAGTCTATCCTGGCAGTCATGTGATACAGCAAAAGTGGATTGTTAGCCAGTCAGTCTCAGATCTGTGGTGAGGAAGAGGCCACTGCGGGGGAGAACTTTGGGAACAACAAATCCAAAGTCAGCTGGTGCTTCTGCTTCTCATGGCATCACAGATTAACATCCATTTCCTGAATGTGATCAGTGCTGGCCCAATGATTCCAGCATGATCAATCAGGTGCTGAATCTGATCTGTTCCCTACACAAAGAATTGCTACCCAAACTGTTGTCATATTTGGCTTGCATGCCAGTCTCTGCCACCCTGGAACCTTTAACAATTCTATAGAATGTTTGTTGGTTTTCAACTTTCTAAAACTGTGTGAATCCTATGAGAATTGGGGTGGCACTTGTTACGTCTTGGCTGATTTCTATAAAGAGTTCCCTCTTGTGTTCCAACAGTCTGAAGAATTTAGGAGCTCAGGAGAATTGAACACAACTGTGGTGCAGCCAGGAGAAACCTACTGCATCAGAGTGAAAGCAATACTGACTATGGACACAAGGGATGGGAACTTCACAGAGGAGAAATGTATAACAATCCAAATCCTAGATCCAGGTAAAGTAGTTCATCGATGTGCCATCAATTCACAAGTTTTATCATTGCCACTATTTGCAATTTCTCCTATCAGTGCTGGTCAAAGTGATCAAATCCATATTGTTAAGATCCAGTGAATTTCACCCCGAGCTCAACTCTTTAATTTACTTCATTGACTCTTTCCAGTTCTCCTGTTTGGTGTGGCACAGTGATTCAGTGGTTAGCACTGCTGCCTCACAGTGCCTGAGACCCGGGTTCAATTCCAGCCTCAGGCGACGGTGTGCAGTTTACGTGTTCTCCCTGTGTCTGCCTGCGTTTCCTGCCACAGTCCAAAGATGGGCAGATTAGCTGGATTGGTCATGGTAAATTGTCCATAGTGTGCAGGCTAGGTAGGTTATCCATGGGAAATGTGTTGTCACTGGGACAGAATGGAATACTGGGTCTGGATGGGATGCTCTCCAGAGGGACGACATGGACTTGATGGGCCGAAAAGCCTCTTTCCCTACTGTAGGGATTCTATAATTCTGTCTGTTAGTTGCATTTCTCAAAATGGATCTGTGTATGTGTTTTTGTGCGTGTAAGCATGAGTATATGTGAGTGTGTATTGTGTCTGTGTGAGCATAAGTATATGTGAGTGTGTATTGTATGTGTCAGCATGATCATATATGTGTGTGTGCATGTGTATTGTGTGTGTGTATGTGCTGAGTTCCACAGGTTGAAATATGAGGAGAAATTATATATGACAAAACCGTTCCCTGGAATGTAGAATTTTAGGGGGTGATTTTATTATTAATTCAGTTTTGTTTTAATGATGTTGATACAAATTTAGTACACGGGCAGAGAGAAACCATCTCTTGACAAAAATAAAAATTGCTGGAAAGTCTCAGCAGGTCTGACAGCATCTGTGGAGAGAAATCCCAGTTAACGTTTCGGGTCAAGTAACCCTTCCTCACAATTGGCCTGAGGGAGGATCACTCGACCCGAAATGTTAACTCTGATTTCTCTCCACAGAAGCTGCCAGACCAGCTGCCAGCAATGCTATTTTTGTCTCTGATTTATAACATCTGCAGTTCTTTCAGACTTTTTTTAAGAAACCATGTCATGATGGACTGATGGGCTGGCCACAAAATCTTAAATTCAGCATATCTAGGAGAGAAACTAGGGAACTACAAAAGGCAGTAGATATGTGGAACTCTCTTCCACAAAAAAAATCCCCTCAGTTAATACTTTATGTTGATAGGCTCTTGCCAGAAGAGGGTACAAAGGGATGTGGAGTCATGGTAGGCCAGCCATAATCTCATTGGGTCTGAATTGCTTGGGTCTGTATAGCCTCCTCCTGTTCCTTATTACATCTGATTGAGCTCATCATTACTTTCTGCCTATTTCTTCTACTAATGAGAAGTCATTTTCTTTTTATAGCATTGAAGACTATGCCCAATATCATCTTTGGTGTCATCAGTGCTGTCTTCATACTGTTTACACTCTCCTTTTGCCTGGGAATGTACTGCTGGCATTATTTAAAGAAGAAAACCACATTCCCAACTGTACTGGTAAGTTCCATTTGTCGCTCACTGAAAGTTCAGGAAGCTTTGTTGGCTGATGCAATTCACGTTTAGAGAATGGGGTTTCCATCTGAATTCCTCCTCCCCATGTCTCACCCTTACCATGTGCCAAAGCCACATCGAGCTAGACTTTCAACGAGCCCAGTGGGACAACTTGGCACCACTTCTCCCTGACCCCACTCCATACCAGCCTTGTCTGCTGCTGACCACTCCTACGTTGAAATATCGGTCCAAACTTGCCCTGACCCCGAGCCCTGCCTTCTCTGGAAGCATTCAGGTTCTCTTAATCCTGTTTAGGATCCCTTATATCCTCATATATGTAAACTGCCATCCTGACTGGGTGAGGGCTCTATGTAACTCCAAGCACACATCAAAGCGGGTGACTCCCACATTCTCTGCACAATGACCTGGAAAGATGCTCACTTGTACAAATCTGCTATTTTACAAAAAAAAAATGTTGTTGTGAGCTTGGCCCTGTTGAGCTTGAGCCACCAAGAAAAGATGACGTTTCTTTGGAAAAAGAAATGACCAATTGATCAAATTCTGGTTATGGTACCCCCTCAGGCCGACAATAATAAAGGCCAATATTTTCTTTACAAAGCCCTCATGTTGTCTGTGGAGGCATAGACAACTTTGAGTGAGGCCCAATGTTCAATTTCAGGTCTTCGAACAGGAATGCACAGGTCTTTCCTGTGGTACAGGTCTAGAAACGATTTCCATAGCTCCTTCCCACCTCCCTTGGCCTCTTACACTGGAGTTAAACTGACCCCTTCTCCCTCTGCTGCTGGTAACGTGGGAGGTGAATTGTTTTGTTTGTTCCTTGTAAACGTCTGCTGATAAGTGATTTTGTTTCCTCTCTCAGAAATCTCTTGACAAGAACAAGAAATCTCTGAGCATTATGGATTACCTGAGTCTGATAGATGATGTGGTTGTGCAGCAAATGCCTGCTGACTGTACTCTCCTCAGCTCCTGTAAGATTCAGGAGCAGGACGATCTGTGGCCAGAACTGAAAATCAAGGAAGCGTCTTCAGTGGACAGTGGGATTGACATTGGGGGTAACTCATCGGATCAGATGACTGGATTCTGTGAACCACTGAACCCCTACATGCAGCAAACCCCTGAGACAAGTAGCCAGAGGAATATCGGTGCAAAGGACACTCAGGATGACTCTCAGCCCAAAGAATCATGTTTAATAAATGTCCCTGAAGCAATGGACATACCTACTACTGGGACAAGAACCATCAGTCCATCAGGCTATCAAAAACAAACACCTAAGACCGATGCAGTCTCTGTGCAGGATGAATGCAATGTTGAAACTCAGACCGTCCAGGACATCGGTCTTTCCTTCATTTCTACATCAGACATTGGCATGACAGAAAGCTTTTCAAGACGATTTCTTAGCTTAGATGATGTATTGTTAATGGACAATGGACAATAAGAAAGAGCTTTTCAGTTCAAAACTTCTTAACAGCTCTATTTTGTAAATTATTTATTTATTAAAACATTTTCAGTTTGAACTTATTTTTTGATCTTTCAGTGTGGTGGGATATGTTGATAAAGTAATTAGTGAAGCATTAGGTGGTCTTGTACTTTATAAGTAGAGGTGAGTTCAAAAACACTGAAAAGTGATGCTACAATTTTATAAAGCTCTAGTTAGACTTAATTAGTGTATTAGGTCCAGTTCTGGTCACTACACTTCAGAAAAGATGTGAGGGTCCTTGTAAGGGTGTGGAAATTTACCATAATGGTTCAAAAGATGACAGAATCAAGCTACAAGGATAGCTTGGAGAAGCTGGGATTGTTCTGTTTGGACCAAAGGAGACTTCAGGGGAACTAAAACAAAGACCTGCAGTTGCTGGAGATCTGAAACAAACATAAACAGAAATTGCAGGAGAAACACATCAAATCTGGTCGCATCTGTGCAGAGAAAACAGAGTTAGTGTTTTGAGTCCTCTGATCATCTGAAAAAGAGTCACTAGCCTTAACGTTAACTCTGTTTTTTCTTCATAGATGCTGCCAGACTTGCTGAGTTTCCCCAGCAATTTCCAAGATTTGAGGGGAGACTTGATGGTGGTGTACAAGATTATGCCAGGTTCAGATGGTTAGGCAAAAAGAAAGTACCTGTTAGCTGACAGGACAAGGATTAAGGGTCACAGATTTGAGGACTGTACATGAGATACAAGGAAGATGTGAGGAAGAATGTTTTTACAATGGAGTGGTGATGACCCAAAACTCACTACCCAGGAGGATGATGGATGTGAAGATGATCGATAATTTCTAAAAGAAGTTGTGTGGAGACTTGAGGAAAATAAACTTCCAGGATCTTGATGTTTGAACAGGAGAATATTACTGACTAGATTGTGCGACAGAGACCTGAACTGAGTGATGGGCCAAATGGCCACCTTCTGGGCTGTAAGTGATCTTATGGCTTTTCACCTCATGGGTTTTGCCATTAAGTTAGGAGTAAGTCTCTGTGCTTCATAAAGAGGCAGGTTTTCACCAACTCTAGGATTTATCTGCCAGCATTTTATTTCGCAAAGCAACATTTATTGAATCAAAATCTCACTCAATTGAGATGGAGAAAGATCCCAGTATTTGAGAAATCCGGGGCTGCAACCAACAACAAATCATTACAGAGGCAAAATTGGCTGCAAACCTTAAAACCAACGAGACTTGGGGACTTTTTTTCTCAATTCTAGATTCTGTATCTTCACTGTCTCTAAAACCTGTCTCCCTGTGAGAGAAAGAGTAATTCTTGTGTTCATGGTTTTGGCATCATGTCTGCACTTTTATTCTCTATTCACTCCAGTTACAGTGTTGCTGTTAGAACGGTAGTCCTTGTCCACTAACCTTATTATTTACACACTTTCACATTCAGTCTCCTGCACGGGTTCAAATGAGTTTACATTTTAATTTCACAATGTACATGAAAATTGATCAAATCAACAAATGAGACTTAGCCTCTTCACACCATTGCAACAACTAAAGAAAAGGCAATATTCATCACAGAATTTCTTATAATTCAATGGGTTCTTTTGTCTAAATGCACATATCGAGGCAAAGCTGTTCATGTCTGGAGAAGGAGTACTTTTCCATTCTAACAACCAGTGGAAGCATCAAACACTCCCGGGACAGAGACAGCACGGGGTTAGATGCAGTGGAAAGCTCCCTCTATATTGTCCCCATCAAACACCCCCACAACAGGGACAGCACAGGTTTAGATAGAGTAAAACTCTCTCTACTGTTGCATCAAACACTTCTCAAGTTGTACTCTTTAAAAGACTTCTTGCTTATTATTTCGGAGAGGAGCAGATGAATTCTCAATAAAAATCTATGTTCTGAGGAAGGGTCACCGGACCCGAAATGTTAACTCTGTTTTCTCCTTCACAGCTGTTGCCAGACCTGCTGAGCTTTTCCAACAACTTTGTTTTTGTGGCAGATGAATTCTCCCTGCTTTCCTCATCAATATTTATATCCTAACCAAAATGGTTTTTAAAATTGGAATACTTAGTCTATATTGCCTGGTTGTTTGTGCTGTGTGTCAGTTGCTGCATGTTTCCTGCAATAGTACCCACAGCTCAAAGCGTGTGTCATTAACTGCGATGAAATATTTTGGGATATCTTAAGGACTTGAGTAACCCTGAACAAATGTCACTAAAACAAAATGTTTGACTATTAACTCATCGTTTTTTGTGGGATTTTCCTCTGTACAAATTGGCTGCGGGGTTTTTTTTTAAAACATTTCAACAGTGACTACAATTTGAAAAACCATGCCTTTGGCTGTAAAATGCTTTGTGACATCTAGAGGTTGCAAAAGGCACTAAATAAATTCAAATGGAATACAAAAGTGTTCTTCTATAGTTAGCTGAGTCATTTCCACTTCCTCTCTCGATGGTCTTGTTATTGGGTTATTGCACATTTATGGACCAGATGTACGCGCACCCAGTCTATTGCTAAACAATTCTCAAGCAACAAGAGCTCAGATTTCACAGGGAGCTATCAGTAAGTTTACTTCCCCCATTCCAAGGCCCAGCACCAAAGAAAAAGCAAGTATAAGGTTTTAAGAGATAGTAGGAACTGCAGATGCTGGAGAATCTGAGATAACAAGGTATAGAGCTGGATAAACACAGCAGGCCAAGCAGCATCAGAGGAGCAGGAAAGCTGACATTTCGGGCCTAGACCCTTCTTCAGAAAATGTATAAGGTTCAGTATCAGGTTTTATTTGTTTCTTCACAAGGTCCCTGAAAATAATGAGGTCACACCTCTTTCGCAGCCTCTTTAATATTGCTCATCAACAGCAGGGTACAAATCCTTATCTCGAGTCCTCATGTTCTGATAGTGGAACTCATGGTTTGAGCTTAGATTTCCCCTAGTCTTCATCATCCCACTGATGGAAAATGGCGGATCAAACTCCAGCTGGATAGATTTCAGGTCTCTGCGGAAGAATCCAGGAGTTAAGATCTGACACTTTGCTGTACCATCACCACCCCCATCCCCGTCACCTCCATATCTGTGCAACCAGCCTGCTGACCATCTGTCTGTACACCCCGCACCACCAATCACCACCTCCTAACTCCTACCGAGGAACGCTCCTGCTGCTCTGTACCTTACTAGGGTTTGGTCACCCATACGCTAGAAGCTTTACCACTACTTTGTCCCAGTGTCCATCTCTGTGTGGGATCTCAATGAGCCTTTTAGCAAAGAGACGGGGAGAGGATTCAACTGAGCTCGACCCTGTCCTCCCCCAACATGACTTCTCCAGACAGCAGGTCAGAGAAGGTTTACCGGACTAAAACTGGATTGCCTCATGAGGAAAGGCCAGACAGGCTAAGGCCTGTATCCTCTGGAGTTTAGACCAGTTTTGACTTAATTAAAATATATATGATTCTGAGGGGACTTGACCAAGTACATATTGAAAGGGTGATTTATCTTGTGGGAGAACCTGGAGCTATGAGTAATAGTTTAAAAATAAGCGGGGGGGGCACACATTTAAGATAAAGATAAGGAAATGTTTTTATTCCCTCAGAGGCTTGTGAATCTTTGGAATTCCCTTCCTCAAAAGGGTGTGTATGTGGAACCTTTTAAATATATTTAAGGCAGAGGTAGCTAGATTCTTGATGACTAACGGGATGAAGATTATCGGGGATATACAGGAACATTGAGTTGAGGTTAAAAATCAGATCAGCCATGATCTTATTGAATGGTGGAGCAGGTTTGAAGGGCTGAATGGTCTGCTCTTGTTCCTTGGTCATATGTTCATTAGTGGATAATTCCCAGTAACTCCCCATAGCACAGTACCATAAAATACATTGCCTGATATGAGAGAACCTGGGTCCTAACCTGGGCATTACTTAACTGTGGAGCCTGGTACAGAGTTAAGATATCTGATCTATTCGATCCGATGTCACGACTGCAGAATATTGCTCAACATCCCTGTAATAAACCTTTTGTATCAAACGTCCTGTTCTCATTTCCAAGGGTGGGGCCAAGGCATCCCATTGGATTGGTTCACCCTCGTGGCCAAAGTTCACCAGTGGTTTGCCATTATCTTCTGCAGGATACTGGCCAGAAAACTTTCCCAACCTTACTGCCTGCCAACAGGCTCATTAGAGGGAGTTTTAGGCTGACAAGCATGTCACAACCCTCCCTTCCATGGCCGATAAGTCTTGATGTGGGACTTGAACCCTGAACCTCTAGTCTACACATATGGACATTATCCTGCCCTGATCCATTTCTGAAGAAGGGTCTAGGCCCGAAATGTCAGCTTTCCTGCTCCTCTGATGCTGCTTGGCCTGCTGTGTTCATCCAGCTCTACACCTTGTTATCTCTGATCCACAGACTCTTCTGTCAACAGCATCACCAAGTACACACGTGGGCCACATGTTATATTCGAGAGGTGATAAATAAGCAAACAACCTTTCAAGGTTAATATTGGACATTTTCCAAATTGCAGCAGGAAATTTTTGAGCATTTTCTAATTTGCACAGTGACTTTGCACACAGCAGTTCAGCTCTGACTGACCTCAAACCATTTTTACACAAAATCTCAACGCTTATTTCTAACAATGAGCCTCGAGATCTGCTGTAGAAGCAGAATTATGGTCAGGACATTTGTTGACACACTGTCAATTTGCTGCTGATTATACAATGTCTAGTTTTGAATGTTGGATGCTTAGACAGCTGGGTTTTGAGTGTTAGTAGAAATTATTTGCCTTCAAGTGTCTTACTCTGGATCCATGACCAAAATCAACACAAGGGGCATAAGGAGCAGGAACGAAAACAGAAGTTGCTGGGAAAGCTCAGCAGGTCTGGCAGCATCTGTGAAGAAAAAATCAGAGTTAACGTTTCGGATCCGGTGACCTTTCCTCAGAACGGACCTGAAATCTTATCTCTGATTTTTCTTCACAGATGCTGCCAGACCTGCTGAGCCTTTCCAGCAATTTCTGTTTTTGTTTCTGATTTACAGCATCCGCAGTTCTTTTGGTTTTTATAAGGAGCAGGAATCCTGGGTGAATTTTACCCACGCCCAGCCCACAAGCACCAAGGGGTGTGTAGACCTTCTAACTCACAAACTGTCTGCCAGTCATACCCTTCTCCATTACCCATCCCAGCCATTCTACGTCCCTGCCCACTGCTACCCCCACACACCTCACATAAATAGACCATAGCTCAGAATCGCTACAGCCGAGATTACACCAGATTTATGGCACAGTATCAGGCCATTCGTCCCAACCAGTTCATGCTGGTTGCTCCACTGGGCCCTCCTCCCACCTTTCCTCATCTAAAGGGTAGATTATCAGGGGAGGGAGCAGAGGGGTCTGTGTTCTGTGAGGGAGAGGTTAGGCGGAGGGAGCGAAGGGCTAACCCTGACCCTCATCTACATTGCCCATTATACCCTCCATTCCCTTCTTCCTATTGGCTTGTCTCATTTCCCCTTAAATTCACCTGCACTATTTATTTCAACTAATCCCTATAGAATGTATTTTACACTCTTACCATTCTCTGACTGAAGAAGTTTCTTTTGAATTTCCAATTAGATTTCTTGGGGAACAACTTGTATTGATGTCTCTTCCCCACAAGAGGAAACAGTCTCTCTGTGTCTATTCAATCAAACATTTCATAGAATTATAGAATCACTACCGTGTGAATGCTAGCCCTTCAGCCCATCCAGTCTGCACCAACCATACAAACAGCATCTCATCCAGACCCAATCCCCTTACCCTATCCCTGTAATCCTGCATGTCCCATGGCTAACCCACCTAGCCTACACATCCCTGGACACTTTGGGCAATTTAGAATGGCTAATCCACTCAACTTGCCATATTTGGACTGTGGGAGGAAACCAGAGCACTCAGAGGAAACCCACACAGACACAGGGGTGGAATGTGCAAACTCCACACAGGCAATCGCCCAAGGCTGGAATTGAACCTGGATCCCTGGTGCTGTGAGGTAGTAACGCTAACCACTGAGCCACTGAGCCATCGTTTTAAAGATCTCAGTTAGGTCGCCTCTCAGCGATCAGGGATCAGGGATCCAGCCTGCCAATCTATTTTTGGTACATTGTAGCCCCACGTTCCTGCTCCATATGTCTCAGTAAAGTCGGTATTTTGATGAACAGAGCAGACAGCGAGCAGTTTGTAAACTGTGCAAAGTGATGATCCAGTGAAGATTGTGAACTGTACCTGAGAACATTTTGGCTGAAGGACAGTCTGGGTTCTGTAAGACACAAAAAGGAACAGCATCAACAAATCAGCTCATTGAAGCTATAAGACAGTCCTTAGACTACAGAGTGGGCATAATGCTCACATACACATTTACCCCTCACATGGATATGTAGACCCCGTTACACACACACATTGACACACACACACTCATCCATCACACACACCGACGACCTCACATACACTTATCCCTCACACACAGATACATACCCTACTCCCTCACACCCACATACCCCTTATACACACACACACATAAACACACTCACCCCTCACACCACATCCATCACTCACCACACACACACACACACACTTTTCACAATCACACACTCCACACTCTCACACACACACATGACCCCTCAGACACTGATTTTTGATCACTTTTTTCAGTTTGCCGCTCCCTCTCTGTAGTTCTGATGTTTTCTGAGCTCAGGAGAGTGGCCCAAGGACCCGTTCTGCTACCACACCAGGGCTGACCCAGAGCGTGCCATCACACACTGAGTGTGACTCTCTTCTTGTCTTCCATCCATCCACACCTTTGAGCAGAGAGCTTTAGAGGAATGGGACTTCCCTCTGTGCAGTTCCCTGATATTGTAAAGCTAAATGTGCCAGCTCAGCAAAATCACTCCTAATCAAGGATTGAAACCCTCCTGGTCTCTATGGATATTTTTGATCACTTTCAGATTCCCTGTGGCTATCCTATTATTTTATTGGGATCCCTCACATAGTGCAGTTACAATATTGCTCAGTCTCTGATTGGAGATGAATTATTAAAGGTTGCCTTGTCTCCAGACAATCAGAAAAGTGGTGGTTTTTAGCACTAATCCCAAACCCAATTATGATACCTTAAAACTAAGCACCAAGCATTAATGTTAAATTTAATGGATGGAGTTAGGGCTTGGTTTGGATTTTTGGTTAATAGAGTTACGGTTTAGGGTTAGTAGTTTTACTGAATCACCATTCCTAAACTCAACCCTAACACTGAACTTCAATATAGGAGCAAATTATGGCAGATGTTGGAATCTGCATTGAAAACAAAAAATGCTGGAAGTCACAGCAGATCAGGCAGCATCCATGGAGAGAGAGCAAGCTAATGTTTTAAGTCTAGGTGAGCTCTGATGCAGAGTTAGCTTCCTCTATCTCCATGGTTGCTGCCTGACCCCAGTGTGATTTCCAGCAGTTTTTGTTTTCACTCTGAACTTCAACCTTATCCACTAATATCCTAAATTACGTTTTGCAGGTCTAATTATAGGTTAGTGATTCTTTCAATTAGTGAGTCATTGCACCTACTTTGAAAGCAGCGTCCGTGTCTGTAATACTGGACTAAGATCATAGTCAACACGATTCCAGCCAGGACCAGCAAACACAAAGCAATGACAATTGCTCGAACATTTGCACTGTTACCTAGAAATGGAGAGAAATGGGGTCAGCAGGCTCCAAGCTCCAACACTTCACATTTCTCATTGCTGCCTTCACAACCCAGTTTAATTTGAATCAGAGATAGTAGGAACTGCAGATGCTGGAGAATCCGAGACAACAAGGTGCAGGGCTGGATGAACACAGCAGGCCAAGCAGCATCATAGGAGCAGAGAGGCTCAGGCCAAGCAGCATCATAGG